AATTTAAAGAACGTATCACTGGAGAAACCCCCAAGCACACCATTACTTTGTGCTGTTGTTATGAACAACCAAAAAGTCTATTGAGGGACTTCCCTGGTGGTCCTGTTGCTAAGATTCCACGCTCCCAATGCAGAGGGCCCAGGTTCAATCCCTGGTCATGGAACTAGATCCCACATGCCACAAATAAGAGTTTTCCTGCTATATCTAAAGATCCCGAATGTTGCAACTAAGACCCGGTATAGCCAACATAAAAAATTAATTTTTTTAAGAAAGGTTAACTGAGGCCCTGTGGCTTGATGAGGGTTGTGATGGGAGCTGAGGTACCAGCAGAAGACGTGGCCCACTCACCCCTCCTCCTACAACTTAAGGGGCTTATGGTTTGGGGAGGGAGAAAGGAAATACAGAGGGAAGACAAACCACAGTGCAACTCCAAGGGCCAGGGGAGTGACCAGGGATGGCCAGGCTGCAGAAGGTGGAGGTGACATGGAGGGAGGGGGCAGTCAGAACAGGTTTCCCAGGAAACGGAGACAAGTTGTACCTCGAAGGATGAGCAGAGGAGACAAAACAGTGAGAAGAGCCAAGGTGACCCAGAAATCGGGCCCCCGCTCTGGGCTCTCCCTCTGCTCCCTGGAGAGATAAGACGTGATGTCCGCAGGGATGGTAGGCAGTGAGGCCATCCTACAGCATCCATAATGGGAAAGGAAATTAGTCTTGGGAAATTTACACCCAAAGTCATCTTCTCTCCCCACAAAGGGAAGAAATTTTCTGGTCGGGGGGCATCTAATCCACTTCCCCACACACACTGTGCTTAGTACAGAGGATGGACATGAAATAGCTGGGGGTCCCTGATCCCAACTGCATAGACACGGGAGGCGAGGGATCTGAATGCCTGCAGGCTAGGATTCTTTCACCTGAATCTTCTGTTTGTTTTCAAAGTGGCTGCCCCAAACCTTCATTCCAGAATTACAGTTGGCCCAGGCAGACCTTGCAAATGAAAAGCCTGTCTTAGATGTGCAGCTAATGGAACAGCCTATATAACAGGAAAAGGCACAATTCAATGCCCTATATATGTATAGTATATATACATGTATACATAAATGCAGGTATTTTGATGTGCTATTGATTTCTAAAGTGGGGTAATTTGAGAATGTGCCTTAGCCATACTGTAAGGGGATGTATTGGAGATCACCTTCTGTGTCTCCCTGGGTCTGGCTAAGGCCAAATGGACAACAGACTCACAGCATGTCTTCTCTCAAAGGACTGTGAGCCTGGGGCAGACCCAGATTCACAGCACACTGCCTCTAGCAGCCCCAGACTGCTATTTATCCAATCGGCCAGCGCTCCTCCCCACTGTACGCCCAGCTCTCTGTCCCTTAGCATGACATAGATTACAGAGGACAGGAAGGGCAGGCAGGCCTGAAGATCTGCCCTTGTGGACAAAGGAAGCAGTGTCTATTCGGGGTCCAGAAGGGCTGGGAGGGCGGTGACTGAAGCCAGGAAACTGATCTGGGCTTTTCTAACTCCACCACCCTTTCCCCATAAAGGTCCCCAGTTTATTGAGAGAGAGGATGCTCAGAGATGCTTTGCTTCTATTCTGCATTCTCTCACTGTACCTCAGATCATACTGTGTCCAAGCCACGGAAACCTCAGGGACCAGTTAGTCCAACCCCCTCTACCAACACATCCCCACCTCCTCTGTTTTGATGCTTTTCAACTGCCACTGTCTGAGAAATCCACTCAACATGCTTTTGGACTTGAATGTCAATTAAAAATACACAGCTTGGGAGAATTCCCCGGTGGTCCAGTGGTGAGGACTCCATGCTTCCACTGCAGGGGGCACAGGTTTGATCCCTGATCCGGGAACTAAGATTCCCATATGCTGTGCATTGCAGCCAAGAAAAAAAAAAATACATAGCTTGGAAGCTGGAAAGTACCCAAATGTTCATCAGCAGTTGAATGGATCTATAAATCCTGATGTAGCCACATGATGGAATACTACACAGCCATGAAGATGGAAAATCTTCCACCCCCACACATCAGTACAAAAACTGGCAGGAGTAATCCAGGACACAGAAGTCAAGAGGATGGTTCTCCCTGAGGAGTAGGGCTGGGAGGTGGAACGAAGGGCTCCTGGGGGCTGAATATATTCTGTTTCTTGATTTGGGTGGTGATTACTTGGGTGTGCTCTATTTATGAAAATTTGTCAAGTCGTACAGTTAAAATCCATGGCTGTATGCATATTATACTTTGACTACCTCATGCGAAGAGTTGACTCATTGGAAAAGACCCTGATGTTGGGAGGGACTGGGGGCAGGAGGAGAAGGGGATGACAGAGGATGAGATGGCCGGATGGCATCACCGACTCAATGGACATGAGTTTGAGTAAACTCTGGGAGTTGGTGATGGACAGGGAGGCCTGGCATGCGATTCATGGGGTTACAAAGAGTCAGACACGACTGAGTGACTGAACTGAACTGAACTGATCTTACATAAGAAGTTGCACAACATATGATTCCATTTGTAGGAAACATATGGCACAGGTAAGTCTGGAGACAGAAAGTAGACCAGAAGCTGTCAGGGACTGGGGCAGAGGTTGGGGAGTGACTGTTTAAAGGGTAAGAGGTTTCCTTTTGGGGTAATCAAAATGTCTTGGAACTAGACAGAAGTGATGGTTGTACAATATTTTGAATGCACCAAATGCCACTGAATTGTTCATTTTAAAGTGGTTAGTGATTAATTTTATTCTATGGGGATATACTGGTAATGAATTGGCCTGCCAGTGCAGGAGACACAAAAGACATGGGTTCGATCCCTGGGTTGGCAAGATCCCCCAGCGTAAGAAATGGCAATTCAGTCGAGTATTCTTTCCTGGAAAACTCCATGGACAGAGAAACTTGGCGGGCTACAGTCCATGGGGTCACAAAGAGTCGGACATGACTGAGTGACTGACACACACCTGTGAATTTTAGTTCAAATAAATAATGTCTATCTAGGAAGGGCCACACACTAAAAGCCATGTTTGTTTGCTGTTGATGTTTGCTGTTATTCCTGTAGCTTGATGATTTGCCTATCTCTCCCAGCTCTTGCTGTGGTCACAGATGGCTGAGTTCAAGGGGTCTGTGATCTGAGCTCCAAATAATGAGACGTTCCAGGGCAATGCCTGGTCATTACAGTGAGCAGGCTCACAAGATTCCAGAAGCCCATCACACTTTCAAGGGGTCTTGGGTAACGGAGCCTGGGCTTGCAAGGGGCCAAGCTTCATCCACTGCCATGTCAACCGCACTCCAGAGCCAAGGACTTCCCAAGGACTTCTGCTGCATCTTTGCACCTGTCCTGAGCAGAGCTGGGTCTGGTGGATTCGCTTCAGCCCCACGTGCAAACTCGCATCTGCGGCAGCGAGTGAGCCCCGGCTGGAGAGCGGTGGCCGCTCACACTGTTATCCCTTTCTCAGCAATAATGTTTAGGTTCAGGAAAGAGTTCCAAGATATATATAATTCCTCATGCTGAGTAAGGGCTCACTGCACTGACTGCAGGCCTGACTGCACTGCTGCCCCAGCTACCGCTCTATCCAGGAATGTTAATACACCAGCCGCTGGCCCCGCACTATGGATGGATGTCTCTCAATGTCCTCATTATGTGCTCCGTATTTCAGGTCATGTAATTCAGCTGTAAAAATTTGCCCCTGGCTGCACCTGGCATAGGAGTGGCACAGAGGGGTGTGTTTATTTTTTTAAGGTGCTGTTAAAAATAAATTTAATAAGAGAAAGAGAGTGGAAGAGAGCGAGCAAGGGACGGAGACTGTGTGTAGTTTGAATGAGGGAGGAAAAGACATGTGCAGAAGGTTTGAGATCCTGGTGCTTTGGGCGTGTGAGTGTGTATGTGAGTGTGTGCATGTGAGTCTGTGTGTGTGTGTGTGTGTGCGCGCGCGCGGGTGTTTCTCCTGAGTAACTCAAAGCCAGCTTTGTTTATTAAACCGAGATTTTCCAGATCGTTAGGTTGTGATGTGGCTTAGTTTATACTGTGCAATATCCCATCTGAAATACACACAGGTACATACGTGAAAACCAGTGGAGCGACTTCAATTAGTAAGAGTATGGGCAGCAATTAACTTTAAATGAACATTTTCATGAGTTTTTCTCCTTCCCTTTCCTTCTCTTGGCCGTGTAATTAACGAGTCTCTGAACGAACTCAGTCTCTCTTTGAGACCAGAAGACTTTGGTTCTAGAAGCCACAGCATGAAGATGGAGAGGAACATAAGGGTCTCCAGACTGGGACACTTAGGTGGCAGGGGGCCTGTCCTTCTGGGCATGCCATGGGTGGAAGAGAGTCACCACCCCTGCCCCCAACTTCTAGGAAGTTAAGATGCACCTGGGGTGATCTTATCAGCTAAACCAAACCCCAGAACATGTAGGCTCACAGACGAGTTCTGTCCCATTTCTGGCCAGGAGAAGCTGTTTGGGAAACATCACCTTGACTATTGGGTTTTCTAGACTATTTTCAGTGATTTATGAGAAAAACTGGGATGTCTGAAATTAACATGTCCTGGAAGGGCTGAAGTAGTGCCAGTAATGGGGTGACGGGGAAAGGATGGGGGAATATGGACAGACCAAGCTGTCCTTTCTCCACTAGAGCTATGTTGCTATGTTCTGGGGGCTATTATGTCCCTTGGACCCAAGATGTCCATGTTTGCACCCAAACGTGGTACCACACGGAAATCAAGAATCAAGGCTCCAGGGACAGCGGGAGAGCCGAGGGGGTGGTGGATAGAAAAGCCTCGCTTCAGAGGGGCAGCCCCCTCTCCTGACCTCCCTGGACTGCGACGAGAGGCTTGGGGTCTAAGGAGGACCTCTCGGATGTAACAACACGCATCTATCTGCAGGAGTCTACCCAGGGCACCACGGAGGGTCACCCAGAGCTGAAGAAGGACTGGGAATGAGATGTCTTAGGTAAACCGTAGGGCCGCTCGGCACCGCGCACCACCTGTGTCCCGCCCCCATCAGCTGCATTGGAGGACCCTGTGGCCACAGCTCCTGCCGGGTCACTCTGCCTGGGACGGCAGGAGAGTGGCATCGGGGGCTTCATGCTGAGACAGCGCACTCCCACGTCGTCCGTCACCGAAGTGTCAGCCTACCGGAGCCAGGACACGTCTCTTTGGCCGTCGGTCACCTTAATCCTCTCCATCTGAGTTTGCGGTCGCTGCTGTTTCCCCTCAAAGCGAGCCCGTCCTGAAGCTCCTCGTTCGGCCTTACTTGGGCGCCACCTGGTGTCCAAGAGCCTCACTGCCGGTGGGTCCTGGCCGAGTGGAAAGAACAGGAGGTTTTTGCTTTTTTGCTTTTGTCTTTGCTGCTCTTCTTTTAGGCTCTGTGGTAAGAGGTGGAGTCGGCCTGGATTACATCGGGGGAACAGGCACAGCCTGTTCACAGGACATTCCTGCCCCAGCGGACACTCTGTGCCCTGGGCTGGTACTCACAGGCCAGAGGGAACTTCCAGAGTCCCCCTGTGTGTACTAAGTCGCTTCAGTCGTGTCCGACTCTTTGCGACCCCGTGGACTGTAGCCCGCCAGGCTCCTCTGTCCATGGGATTCTCCAGGCGAGAATACTGGAGTGGGTTGCCATGCCCTCCTCCGGGGACCTTCCTGACCCAGGGATCAAACCCCTCTTATGTCTCCTGCATTGGCAGGCGGGTTCTTTACAATTAGGGCCACTGGGAAGCGGAGAGAGGTCCCTCCTAGTCAGTGCTTTCTTTTGTTTTTAAGAAACATACATATCTATATGGAGAGAGAGAGAGAGAGAAAGGAAATCTGGGGCTAAGGGATCAGCAGGAACCAGACTGTATATCCCTCTCATCTCAGCCACTTACTAGCTGTGTGACCATGAGTAAGTTATTCTCACCTCTCTGAACCTCACTTTCTTTCTTGGAAAAAAGGGAGAACTATAACCACTTGAGAGGGTCCATGAGATTTAAAATCAAAGTCCTGCCCGGTTCTTGACCACTGAGGGTGCTCAATAAATGTCATTTCCTCCTTTCCTCAGTGGATGTAGGGAGATAGAGATGATTACATAGGTAATAAAGTTTAGGACCCAATGAAAGTAGTATTTGTTTTTTTTCTTGGTGTGTGTGGGGTGATGGGCAGAGCTGTGGTGGGGGTGGGGTAGAGGGAAGTCTTCATTCTCACTTTCCTCTAAAATTCTCAGCCTTTGCAGTTCTGGGAAGAGGAGTCTAAACTGTGTGTAGTGACTCTGAACACATCTCTGTTGGAGAGATTAAAGGCATGCTTCACTCCCAACTTTACACCAACTGGCTAATAAATAATAAGGTAAGTCGTTGTGGACTAAGCCTTGTTTGAAAAGTTTTCCAGACGCCAGTGTGCCCAGCTCAAAGGAGTTTTGCCCCATAATGCTCATCCCCATTTACTGAGCCCTTTATAGGGGAGGCATAGCCAGGAATTTGACCGGGCATCACCTCCTGTACCCTTATAACAACCATCCCAGGTCAGAATTGCTGCCCCCATTACATAGATGAGTAAATTGGGGTTCAGAGTGGTCAGGTCACTTGCCTAAGATCACATATCTAGGAAGCAATGAGGTCCACACAGCTCTAGATCCAGTTTGTCCCCTTCCTGCTTCTCCCAACATCCCTCGAGCCCAGGGATCTTCTCCTGGAGCCCGGCTGGCCTCTGAACCAACCAGCAGCGGCTTTCTGCCCTAGCCCCAGCCCTGGGCATAAATCACGTCCCGGTTCCTGCCCATGGCTCATTGGTTGGGCTCCCAGCTGTCTTCCGCCTAGTTTCAGGCGTGTGGCTATATTAAGATTATGAACTGTAACATTAACACTTAAAAAAAAATCCCAAAGAGAAAGGCAAAAAGAAAGAAATACCCCTAAAGAGTCTAATGTCAGGTCCAGCCAAGGGTCATAAATCAATGTCAGTAAATTTATAAACAGTTCATAAATGTAAGTGCTTTTTACAGGGCTGTTTGTTATTGTGTCGGGGCTGGGATGGGGCGGGGCGGTCCATCCATCTGTCTTCCAGTCGGGAGCCGGGAGCCGCTCAGATGGTTCCAGCACCTCCAGCTGCAGAAGGAATAGGAACCGGACCAGTGCGGCCAGGTGATGGGAAACTTGCAGGTGGGTGAGGGGAGCCCTGAATTTGAAATGAGGTTTTGAGGACATTTACAGCAACAACATCATAATGATGACTTTTCCTCCAGGTTTTTCTTTTGATTTTTCTAAGTATAATGTTCTTAGAAATTCTGGTGTGTTCTTAGCCTAGATGCCCAGCCAAAAGGGAATATTCCAAAGCAGAGAATAAAATTCTTCACACAGAGTTCCCACCCATGGGACATCGCACCACCACCTCACCTTCACTCAGCCCATCTCAGGACCCAAAACCCAGACACTGAGTTTAAAGACAGACTTGGCCAGGACATACCCTCTGCCACTGCAGGAGAGGCTCTGGCTAGAAATTTCTGGATTTATAAATAAAAGGGAGGTATGGTGAATGCTGCCTTCTCCTGTCCTGTCACCTGGTTGAAAAGCAGCAGGTCTTGAGTCCCAGGAGCTCACAGAGCAGGTCTTGAAAAGAGCTTCTCAGCTTCTCTAGGAAACCTTGATTTCTCTAGGAAATCAAGACTAGGAAACACACAGTATCCCCTCCACTGCTTATTTTTCTCTCCTTGACTTGACCATATGCCACTTCCTTATCAGCCCCAAACTGAGACTCTACACAAATAAGCTTTTGCCCACAGGTCCTTGGAGTAGAGGACAGGGAATGGGGTTGCCTCACTCTTCTTTCCAAAAGCTCCAGTTTCTGCACTGCCAGGCTGGCCCAGCCCAAACACCGTGTGGAACACCTACCTCAACCCCTGATGGTGCAGTAGCCTGTCGGCAAAGGTGGAATGAGTGAGGGTGTTGAACTCTACCCTTGGCCACCTACGTCCAAGCCCTGGTCCTCTGAGTTAAGTCACTCACTGACAATCAGTTCAGAACAGCTGTGAAGACCTGAAGGGTCAACTCAGGCTAAGCCAAGTATGACATCACTGTTATATTCTGCAAACTCAAGATCCTGGAGTCTTTCTGGATCTTGAAGGCAAGTGATCATGAAAATAGGTGTGTACATCCAGTGTCTTCTAGCAACTTCTCCCAGAGCAATTCTGAAACACTACATGTCTCAGTGTAGGCAATGGTATTTGTGACACAAAGCAGCTCTTTTTATAGAGAAACCTTATTAAAATAATGCATTTGCGGAACTTCCCTGGTGGTCCAGTGGTTAAGAATCTGCCTCCCAATGCAGGATACACAGGTTCGATACCCGCTCCGGGAAGAAACCACACGCCTCGGAGCAACTAAGGCTGTGAGCTGCAACTACTGAAGCCCAAGTGCTCTAAAGCCCTTGCCCCATAGCAAGAGAAACCACCTCAGTGAGAAGCCCGTGCACCGCAACTAGAGAGTACCGCCCGCTCACTGCAAACAAAGACCCAGCGTAGTCAAAAATGGAATACGTAAATAATTTTTTTTTAATGTGGTGTGGGCATGTGTGTTCAGTCATGTCCGACTCTTTACGACCCCGTGGACTATAGCTCGCCAGGCTCCTCTGTCCAGGGGATTCTCCAGGCAAGAATACTGGAGTGGGTTGCCAGGCCCTCCTCCAGGGAGCTTCCTGATCCAGGGACAGAATCCACATCTCCTGTGTCTCCTTCATTGACAGGCAGATTCTTTACCACTGCACCACCTGGGAAGTCATTGGCCCATAAAAGTTGTTCCACTATAACCTTATCCCTTGATTTCCAGAAAGCTGGTTACTGCACACTCTTCAAGAGACCACTGGGTCTGGCAGAACCACCTCATATGGCCAGAACCACCTTGTATGGCCAGAACTGCCCGTGAAAACCCCATTAACCGGTTGCACCTTTTCCAGGCAAGCGCTAAACAGGGGTTTCATTTATTTGAAAAGTAGGTATTAAATATGTCAGATGTAGGAAGTGAAATGTAATGGGCCCAATTCCACACTCGGTTCCATATGCGTAAATCCCATTGATGGAGAACAGAGCGTGGCTGGGGCGGCAGGGACAAGGTCCCTGGTCTGCGGGAGGAAATTGCGCTCTTGATGGATCTTAGCTGACATTCTAATGGACATGGAGTCAAGGCTGTTAAAACTGGAAGGGGCCCTGAAGTTTCTGGTTGGGTTGCTCAGGTTTTTTTTTTTTTTTAATGCTGTAGGAGTTGTCACATTCCTGCTTTATTCCTCGGTTTTATTTTCTAACTCTCGGTAAACATTTGCCATTACTCCTCGGTTTTGTTCCAGTTCAGCTGTGCTTGAGTGGAGTTTTCCAAGAGGGTGGCTGGGTGCTTGGCCAAGGAACGAGCAAACATTTCATAGCCTAAGTTTGGGAAGCAGCCTGAAGGCCTCCTAGCCACTGACACTACAAGCAAAGTCTTGCTACTTAACGTGTGGTCCCTGGACCAGCAGCATCAGCCTCCCCTGGGAACTTGTTAGACATGCAGGGTCTCGGGCCCCACCTCAGACCTTCGAAGTCTAAGTCTGCATTTTAACATGATGCCAAGTGATTCATGGGCACATTACAGAGTGCGAAGCCCTGGATTAGAGAAAAGACAGTGGGCATGACCCTTTCTTTGACACAAATTTATCACCAGGCATTATCTTAAGCACCGCAAGAATCCAGTTCAGATGTTTGTGATAACTCTGCAATGGTAACTCACCAGCCCATTGGTTCTCTTCCATGCCTGTGCCTTAGAATCACTGAGGGAACTTTTTGAAAATGAGGAGGTGCAGACCCAACCCAAGAGATGGTAATTCTACTAACGGTTGGGAAGGGGCTTGGATCTTTGTTATTTACTTCGAGTTCCAGGTGACTTTACCTTGGAGCCAGGGCTGGGAGGTCCTGCAGTAAAATATCACCTTGAATAGTGAGATTTCTTTTGGAAGCGGAGTGATGTAAGTTCTTGATTCTCCCACCATGCATAGCATGCTGGACCCCATAGATGGATCTGGGAATGGATGCCATGAGTGCTGTCCAAGAGCTTGCGGTTCAGTTGAGGATAAAGTGAGATTCATAGCAAGAGGTACGTGGTTTTGAGAAGTGCCCTGGTTCTGTGAGGAATGTTGAGCAGATGAGTCCACCGCAGGAAATGATGGAAGCAGAGAGAGCTGGAATGCTGGATATGAAAGGATATGCATTCCCATGGCATGTTAGAGCTGCGAGGAACCTTAGGAATTGTCTGGTTTTTCCACAGAATGCCATAGAGCAGGGTTTTTCAATCTCAGCAACATCGACATTTGGGGCCAGATAATCCCGGACCAAAATAACAATGTGGAGATGGTCCTGTGCGTTACAGGATGTTCATCAGCATCCCTCTACGTGCCAGTAGCATCCATACCCAAAATATCTCCAGACTTTGGCAGGTGGGCCCTGGGGGCACAATTGCCCCTGGCTGAAAACCACTGACATAGAGCAATTAGGGAGATGGTGGTAGGTCTGGACACGTACTCAGAAGGTGCACAGCAAAGGAAGTAAGTTATGATTTCTAAAAAGTAAGTTGTCAACAATGTGGATGTTAGTCCCAATAACAAGATGTGTGTGTGTGTATGTGTCCAAGGATTGGGTGCAAACAGTGGAAGTGGTGTCTCCTCTCCAAGTGCTTAAAGCATGGGTACTGGTACTCAGTTACCTGGGCTCCAATCCCAGCTCTGCCACCTATTACCTACCCTGACCAACGTCCTTAATCTCCAGGACAGGTGCCGCAGCTTCTCCATCTTTAAAAATGGGACTTGCAGTGCCTACCTCAAAGGATTGTTATAAAGACTAAATGCATTCACTAAAGCACACAGTGATGCAGTTCCCGGGTTTGAGCCATGACTGACAGCATCAGCTCTGAGGGTGTAACTGGAAGGCTGGATAATGAAGAGGGAGACTTTCGGGTTCTGTTTTGTAAACTTCTGCCTGTTTGAATCCTGTCTAATGAGATTATGTTTCTTTAATTGTGTAAGAGAGCAAACACACACACAAAAGAAAGAAATGCTCTAGTTTAGTCCATCTCGTCTTTTTAAATAAACTTTTTATTTTGGAATTATTTTAGACTTGCTGGGGAAAAAAAAAGGTTGCCAAATAGCACAGAGTGTTCCCTCCCGCTTCTCACTCGGCGTCGGATTATCATCTTACATTTCCATGGTGCAATTGTCAAAACTGAGAAACACTGGTGCATCCCTATTAACCAAACTCCAGACTCCACTTGGATTTCACCAGATATTTTACACATGTCCTTTTTCTGTTCCAGGATCCCATCCAAGACAGCACAGTGGGTTTAGTCATCCCGTCTCCTTCGGCTCCTCTGGGCTGTGCTGGCTGCTCTGTCTTGTCTTTATGTTTCATGACCTTCACACTTCTGAAGAGTGGTGGGAGGCCTTTCATAGCAGGCCCCCTAATTTGGGTCTGTCTGATGTTTTCTCATGACTAGACGGGGGCTCTGGGTGTGGGAGAAAACCACAGAGGTGAGGTGGCCTCCTCGAGCCATCACCCCAGGGCCACATGCTGCCACCATGACCTCCACTGGTGAGGCTGACCTCACCTCGGCCACCGTGGTGTCTGCTACATTCTTCCACCATAAAGTGGCCCCCTCCCCCTCCTCACTGGCGCTCTGGGCATCCACACTCCAAGAGGGGACAGATTAAGCTCCTCCCCCAGGAGGAGGGAACGTCTAGGTTGTATTTGGAGTTTTTCTGTAGGAAGATTTGTCTCTTCACCCCATCTATTTACTTACTCAGTCATTTATTTATACAAGTATGGACTCATGGAGATTTATTTTAGACTTGGGTTTGTAATCTAATACAGTGGTATTTATTTTGTTGTTCAAATACCCACTTCACTTTCAACAGTGGAGAAGCCCTGAATTGGGTTGGGGGTTGGGGTGGGGGTGCTGATTTGTAGATCAAGGGGTGCCAACAGGGAGATGGATCACGAGTCACAGACGCAGAGCAGGGTCTTTGGTTTGGATCGGCCCCCGTTAAGGCCATGGTCGGTGGGGAAGCAGAAAGAATAGATGCTGTGTGGCTGGTGGCAAAGCCCCTGCCAGCGTGACTGGGGAGGTGGAGAGCTTCAAGGGTGAGGGACGTAGGCAAGGGTCCCGACTGTGCAGTGTCAGGGCATGTCCCATCTGTAAAATCCTGGGGAAGCCAAGGCCACGGAGAGATTGAGAAAGACACTGTGGAAACCTGAGACTTTCTCAGGGATCAAAGAACAAAGTCTGTCAGAGCTGTAAGCTGTATGTTCTCTGGGGGAGGGGGACGCAGGCCGGCCGGACTCCCCAGGGTGGGAGTGGGGAATACAACGTGGTGTGCAGACATGGAATCACAGGCTCTGACGTTCAGGGGAGTGCAGCAACCTTGCTGCCATTAGTCAAGCTTGAACTGGAAGCCCCATTGGACCCCCCTGTCTTGACTCCAAGGTTGAGTTCCAGCTCCTGACACGTCAAGAGTCCGCAGGGTTGTGGGAGGCCCTCTTTCTTCCCTTCGACACTTCTCTGTGCCGGGGCCCTTTGCTCTCTCTCCCAGGGTCCCACTTCTTCCATTTTTGGCCTCCCTTGTGGGGTCTCAGACCCTCTCTGGTCATTCTGGCCCCACTGGTCCGAGGACAGGGCAAGGAGGGGGGCAGAACTTGGATCCTGTGTGTTGACCCCTCAGCGGAGCTTGGCCTTCCAGAGCCTAACTGGCCTCTCCCAGTGCAGCCCCAGGGGACCTCAGGTTCTGGGGCTCCTCTCTGCCTGGAGCTCCATCTCCCAGGGCCCCTGCTCCAGCCTCCTCCATGCATTTCTCCAGGAGGGAAAGAGGGTCAACTATCCTCTCCCAAATTCTTGTTAGGCATCCTGTAGGAAGAGTAAGACACGATGGTTTTCACAAACGCAGACACAGAAAGAGCAGCCCTACACCATCTTCTTGGCTGGTGGGCCTGGACTAGAGGGGCCCATCTGCTGGGTCAGAGGAAGCCACACGTGTACAAAAATCCCCATTCTTAACTGGAGCCGTTCAGCGTACCCTTTGGGGGTAGGGGGAGAAGCCCTGGGATTTTAATATTAATCAGAAGGAGAAATGGGCTCCAGATGGAGCCTGGAGGTTCCACACCCAGGTCTGAGCAGGTGAGGGTCCAGGCTAGGGATGGAGGGAGTCTTGGCCAAGGCCCTCCTGAGGTATCTTTTCAGCTTACTGGAAGCCATGAGCTTCTTCGAGACTTCTTCCCATGGGGTCTGGCTGGTCAAGGCAAGTATAAGTCACCCTGGAGGGAGAGGTGAGTCAAAGAGGATGGCTTCCAGGAGGAGAGAGGCAGACTGACCACAGGCAGGCCCCCTGGGCAGCTTCCCACTCCCACGCACCATGGGAGAGCCTTCCTGGAAGACAGAATGCTCTGGCCAGGAAATTTTTTTTATTTTATTTTAATTAAAAAAAAAACCATACATGGGTCCCAGGACCATCAAAGAGCAAGAGGAGAAGGGATGAGAACGCCCTCGACGAGGCTGGGATGCGATTACACCGTCCACCGAAGGTCTCCCAGAAACCTCACCAAGGAAGTGCCATGGAAACGGGAAGACACACCTGAGCGCAGGAGGGGGCTTAGCTGGTCTCAGACAAATATGGTGGTCCCCTCTCCGGATCAGAGTCTCCAGAAGGGACCCCAGCCTGGCCAGCCCCAGCTGGCGAGACTCCCGCTGCCCAGCAGACTTATTTCGAGAAAGAGCAGGTTTCTGTGAAGGCGGGGAGGCTGCTGGCCGTCGTCTCTGGCAGAAGCACAGGAAACACTCGTGGCTAATTCTGTTTCCAACAGGAGACGGTGCTGGGGCTGCCCAGGACACGGGAGACGCAGCCTCTGCCCTCGAGAAGCTCACGGTCTTCCTGAAGAGACAAGTCTGATCTAGGAAGGAGCACAGCCTGGGAGTCCAAGTGTGGGCTGGAGCCTCAGCAGGACCCTGTATGGGGTAAGCACCTACATAGGCCATGTCATGACTATCTCCCTCGTATAACAGATTAAGGAACAGACCAAAGGACTTCTTGGTGGTCCAGTGGTTAAGACTTCCCCTTCCAATGTAGGGGGTACAGGTTCGATCCCTGGTCTGGGAGCTAAGATTCCGCATGCTTGATGGCCAAAAAACCAAAACGTAAAATGGAAGCAATATTATGACAAATTCAATAAAGATTTTAAAAATGGTCCACACCAAAAAAAAAAAATCTTAAAGATGCAAAGGAGGTGTCAAGAGAAGAAATGGAGGCCTTGAGGATTAGTGGGACATCGGGGATGACAAGAAGACAAAGACAATCCCATGAATAACTCTTTAGATGAACCGCAGAGGCCCAACTTGCCATGAACATGAATCTGGTTGTGATGTGACCAATTCCTTCTGCAAAGCAGACCATCATCATCCCCTTGGGAACACCCCCTGGGAGTCCTTCCGGACCAGGGCAGGTGTCCTGGCATTCCCGATCACCTCTGCTTTTCAGGCCGTCATTGTCCTAGGACACTGCAGTCAGTGTCTGGGGGGGAGACTCGATTACCTGGAAAGCCTGCAGTCTCACTGCTGCCATTCCTCCAGAAATTGCCCCGAGGCAGGATCTGCGATGGAGCCCATAGCTTCAGCCCACATCTCCTTCCTTCTCTCCTGTCCCAGAGAGGAGAACCAGATCCTGTTCAGGACCTGCAACTTCTTCCCAGATTCTCATCCAACTTCTTCTGATGCTAGGAAGCCTGGCTCAGAAGACCCTAGGTGATTTCCACAGCTCCCAGACTCAGCCCAGAGAAAAGAATGACCCTCAGGTTTCTTCCAGTGCCTTTGAAATAAGAACATGCTGGAAACCCCAGAGGGAATGGTAGGCTTAGGCAGAAATGTCCCACAAATACCCCTGTTGTTACACTCATCTTGGACCCCATAAAGACCGTAGAGAGGCACGCCTGGTACAGTCTATAACTGTGCGATCCAAGGAACCCGTTTCCCATATGCCTGCCCAGCTCCATCTTTTCCTCTTTCAGTCTTAGTTTTTTGCCTCTGGCCTTGGTGGAAGTTTGGGTAGAACTCTCCAACCATAGTAACCATATCAATGATTATGGCTACCACATTAAACACGGGCCTGTTTGAACCAGCTCCTGGGCTAAGTGCTTTGCAGGTATTATTTCTAATCCTTATAAGAAGCATGCAAAGTAGGTGTCAGAAGCATTTTACAGATGTGGAAATTGAGGCCAAGGGAAGCTAAATAACTTGTTCAAGCTCACACAGTTCTTAGGTGGTTGACCCAGAATTCTTAATTTTTTTTACTAGATCATTCTGTCAACCTCAGCCAAATCTTACAGTACAGACATTCCAGCTCAGACCCTCCCAACCTTTTTCACATGATGGCACATATCGGAAGTGCAACATTGGCATGGCGCAGGGAGGCAGATAGATGAGGCTGTTTGTTGAGGTGGGCTCTGGGGGCCCTGGCAGTCCCACACCGGTCTCAGCAGCGAGGTCAAGAGGACCAAGAACTTGTACTCTGTGACCCATTCCCAGGACCCTGTGTTGGAAATTCTGTGCTAAATTACCAATTCATCAGTAGTTTCTGAATTTAGCTAGTCACTAGAATCATCTGGGGAGTTTTAAAAAATGCCTGTGCCCAGGCCACCCATACTCTCTGGGAGTGGGGCTTGGCTTAGGTACTTTTGAGAAGGCCCTGGCTTCCTGCTCTTCTTGCTGATGACTCAGCCACACACCCCATGCCCACTCCCTGACCATCCCCCGCCCTTGTCCAGTCTCGTGTCCCAATCCCCATCATGAATACATGCACACACACTGCATGCCCTACAAGAGCAAAGATCACGTCTGTTTTGTTTACCACTGGACCCCCTGACTAGCACAATGTCTGGCATGTAGAGGGTGCACAATGGATTTTTTAAATGAATAAATGTTGAAGATACCGGAAAGATTTCAGACAAAACTCTTTCATGTGTCTAATCAATTCATGTCATGGAGGGCTTAGATTCGTTCAATTAACTTTTTTTTCTTTACTTTTGGAATTTGAAACATTGGTTTGTACTTAAACACAGAAGTCTCCTCTCTGACCACAATTCTTATCATGTCAATATCTAAATGTGCTACCCATATTAATTGATTTGCAGATATTGAATCATCCTTGCATCCTTGAGACAAATCCTGGGTTGTGGAATGCTTCCTAGAAAAGGTAGGATTTAAACTGAGACCACTGCTTCTAGCAACAAGGTAGACCAGGTGTTCAGGCTAGCCCTCCTGCTCAGAGCACAGGCAGGGGAAATTTTTTTCTTTTTTTTTTACTATTTTCAAAATTTCCATGAGTTAGCAAGAAAGTATGGAATACTCTGGCTTAAAAAAAATAAATAAATGAAGGCAGAACTCAGAAGGTGAGATGGGGACTGGAGCCAGCATTGGCCTTGAAGGAATTTTCTGGACCTAGTGAACTTGAAAGTTGATGTTTGGAGCCTTATGAGGTTTGGTGGGCAGGAGACCAAACCTAGGTCTGTCCAAGGTAGACAGTCTAGTAGGAGACTTCTCATAGAATTAGAACAGCCAAGGGCCATACATTCAGTGTAAAGAAGGACTGGAAAAAAATCCAACATCCTCCCCAGATTTGGGGAGCAGGAAATACCTGCAAGGAAAATTGCTTATCTTGAAGTTTCGTATTGGAGCAAAGGAGGAAATATCTCTCCTGAGAACTATAAGCCAGACGTCTTGTGTAACCTGAATTAACTCCACATTACTGTTGTTGTTTAATCGTTAAGTCATGTCCAACTCTTTGTGACCCACCAGGCTCCTCTGTTTATGGGATTCTCCAGGCAAGAATACTGGAGTGGATTGTCATTTTCTTTTCCAGGGGATGTTCCCAAACCAGGGATCAAACCCATGTCTTCTGAATTAGCAGGCAGATTCTTTACCTCTGAGCCAGCAGAGTAAGTCACTCCACATTGATCATCTAAGGTTAAAAAAAAAAAAGGCAGAATATTTAAAGTGATCCCATACTAGACAACTAAGGAGAAAGCAAACAGAAATTTTATCGAAAGGTGTTCACCTTTTCCCGAGGCTGCCAAGGATTTCCCGCAGTTTCTACAGAAGATGAGAAGCTTGCAACTAAAATTCAGCCCCAATATGAGGAAACAAGTTACCAAGATGGAGAGCCAGCAGCGACAGGCAGCGGAATCAGCCTGCAAACACTTCTGGTTTGAGAATTATCAAACGGAATAGAACTGATTTTCAATAAATGGCAGAGAACCTTTAAAATATAAGTTCAGAGTCCTTAGATTTGTAAAAGAATAAAAGAGAACTTCTAGAAAATAAAAGTCTAGAAATGAAATAAAATAGAAACCAAAAACTCAGTGGAGACAATGAAACAGCAGACCTGCACACAAAGAGAGACTTTGTGACATGAGTACATCTGGACCTAACAGCTGTCCCTGGGACGTGAAAATGTGTCTGACACGTATGGTTCTGTGTGTAGCGTGGTGGAACAGCAGACAGAAGCTCAGCCATGCGGAATTGCGTAGGTGTGTCTGGTTCTTCCCCCTCCATCTTTACCTTCTCCATTCCAAGATGATTTTGTTTCTGTTGGTAGCAGTTATGTTTTCCAGTTCATCTGAACTCTAATTCCAAGTCTATGACTATCACAAGTTACTTAATACCTTTAAGCATCAGTTTTCTCAACTGTACAAGGGACTCTGTATTATGTATTGGAATTAAACCAGACTACATATGTTTTGGAGGAGGAAATAGCAACCCACTCCAGCATGCTTCCATGGGAAATCCCATGGACAGAGGAGCCTTGTGGGCTACAGTCCGTGGAGTCACAAAGAGTTGGACACAATTGAGTGATTAAACAACGACAACAAACACTTATGTTTCAGTCATTTATCAGGCTTATTTCCCATATTATGATTAAGTTAAGCAGCCAAAAGATTCTATTCTTCTATGATTATAGTGTGTGTTAGTCGCTCAGTCATGTCTGACTCTTTGTGACCCCATGGACTATAACTCGCCAGGCTCCTATGTTCATGGAATTCTCCAGGCAAGAATACTGGAATGGATTGCCATTCCCTTCTCCAAAGGATCTTCCCAACCCAAGGAGTAGAACCCGTGTCTCCTGCATTACAGGCAGATTCTTTACTATCTGAGCCCAGACACAGTTAATTTTGGGTTCAAGTTTGGAATGAAGACTTAGAAAATAGTCATTCAATTTCAAAATGTGCTAAGCAAGATGTCTTAAGAAAGAATAAAAAATGCCTAAGGGGAAAAATTAGGTAAATTAGAGTTTAGCTTTCTTTAGGTTCATATTTGACAGTGATTCTCAGCTGGGACAGCCTAACCATTTCTGGATTTCAAAAGACATTCTTCCTGTTTTGCCACATTCTGCATTTTTTTTTTTTTTTTACTCCGCCATGCTAAATTTGGCTCAGGGATTGAGAGGAGAGCTGATGGCACAAAGAGGTAATGTTTGCATGTGTACATATTAGAGGATCAACAGTGTGGGCAGACAGAGGGCTGAACCTGGAACCTGTCTGAATCTGAGGGAGGGGACTCCAGTGCCATGGCCATAAACTGCTGACAATTCAAAAAGTGTGTCAGAGACCAACTAATGTTGGGAAATTCCAGTCTACACATTTCAAGCGCAGGCACAGTGGGTGGTCCAAAGGGATCCAGCAAGAACATGACAGTAGGAAAAGAAGGAAAGGAAAAATTAGATTCAATCAAAGGGAAAAAAAATTCCAAATGGTGAGTTCGTTCTATTTGGCTGCAGCGTAACCCCTCCAGGGAACATGGTGGAACTTGAGTCATTGAAACCTTGGCTGGGAAAAGTCATGGAGGATGTACTATAGACAGAGCTGTAGTTTGGATTAGTCTGGTGGTGGGAGCAAGAGACCC